AAATGTTTAAAAAAGGAAAAAATTTTCTCATTTTATCCCTCATACAGTGAATGTAGAAGAGAGGGAAGACGGAAATTTCTACGTGTCATGATTTAATCAAAATAGCAGATATTAATCCTGATTTTTCAAACAAACAGTAACTGGAGATGAAACCTAAAGCATTGCTTGTGATCCTGGGACAAAACGTCAGTCATACGATTAGGTTGGAGAAGAAGCACCATTACTCCCGAAAATTCGGTTTCAGAAATCTCGAGTAAAAAATATGATGGTCATATTTTTTTATAGCAATCTGTGTTTGAGGAGCAGATTTATAGATATATATTATATGAAGGCATAGTAGACAGGCTTCTAATAAAATTCAGGCGTTAAGGCTGGAAAATCTCTGTCGAATAACTTATTTCTGCTGTACAACAATACGCCATTATATAATTCTACCTCTGTCAAAGAGCTTCTAGCAAAGAAATGCGTTACGATTGTTATCCACAATTTTCCCCTTATTCACCAGATTTGGTATCTTCAGACTACTTTTTCTTCCCTATAGTAAAGCCTCACCCTAAAGTTTATTATTTTAAAAGCACTGAAGAAATTCAGAATGTGACCAGATGTTTAAACAGTATTCCAAAAGATGAGTTCGAAGAAATCAAACAACCGTTGGAATAACTTGCCAAAGCAATAATCATTTGCAAGCATTGTGTATCGAAGGCTATCGTCTTTTCTCTAGTTTCCAATTTTGTGTTAATTTAGTCATAAAACTTTGAAGACGAACTGTGCATTTGACATACGTGCCGAAATGTGCGGTAACCGAGGATTCATTCCTTTCACGGAATACGAGAAGTAATGAATTAAAAACTACGTAAAGAAATAAACAAAAGCACTAATTTTATTGGACCTTGAAAAGAAGAACAAGCGATCCGGACGACAGGATTTCTGAATAAATGCTATTCTACTGCAGTTGGCAAATAGAGAAAAAGTAGGAACGCAAACCAAGAATACTAAAAACTTAATTACAGTTCAGATAAGTGAGTACATTAAGTCTTGAGTTGCGGTGCTACCACGTATGAATGTGAAAATAACAAAAACTGAAACCGGAAGTAGGAGCGTTTCATTATATTGGACTGCGCGGGGGCGTATTCTTGCAGTCTCCGCGGTGTACTTAACGAGTATTCAACCGCATTCTGATAATCCTTGATCTTCGTTCAAGGAGACTGTTACGTCTCTTCTTTCAAGTGTTTGATCTTTCTTCTTCTTATACATATATAAACTTCTCCAGATAGTACAATTTGTTAGATTTTAACAGATAAAATATCATTGAATTCCAACAAGCTATTAGAACTCAGTTAAAAAAAAATTGTGAAAATTCCTAATATATATCATTAAAAACATTGCCTGGATTAATAGGTTTTTTTTTCCAAGGCAAGAAAAGTGAGAAATCAATTGTGCATTAACCAGGATTCAGACCACGCATCTTCCATTTGCCATTACTTCGCAATACCATCTAGCCATTACTTCGCAACAGCTCGCATGGGAATACGGTAGTTTCTTAGAAAACACCTTCTATGAATTAGAATAATGTCGCAAATATTCCTAAAAATGACTATTTGTACTTTTTATCCTAATTTTTAAAAAATTATATCAGTTAGGAATATTATTAAAAAATACACCCGTTTTTATGATTAACTTAGGCAATTACCTGGGGCCAAGATGCATAAGCGTCTCTCTTACGCATTAATGAAGAAAACAAAATTCTTAAAATCTTTTAATTTTAAATATAGCCACATATTTTTTTGATTACTTCGACTAAATAAATATTAGTTTACTTATTTGGTCGATATGGTATGAGCTGTCATATCGCTGGGCCAATATTCGAATCTCCGGGAAGACATTGTTTGTTAAATATAGGATCTTTGTAGCATGAAGGCATTTAATATCCATCCAGCCGAAAAGCTTGTGGAGAGGTTACTCGTAGGGAAAGAGGAATAAGAGAGCACAATGGATTCCGTCCCTCAAGGCATTTCCGATCAAAACTGGGATGGGGCTGGGTAAAACGCTTTTCACTTGTAAGGTGGCCAAGGCTGTGACCTTCGTAAAGGTCATATCAAACATTTGAAACATTTCGAAGGAACAACACTTGAGTACAATTTTTCTGCTCTCTGACATGATATAAAACAGCCAATCACCACGGATCACTTGGGGGTTACTATGCAAAAGGGAAACTATTTCTGTAAAAATTACAAATGATGGTTGATGACGGAGGATTCGATGGTGATAGTTGATCGGTTGTTGAAAATGAAAAATTTACAATTTTTTTTTGAGAAAGGAAGGAAAAATTCGTGCTTCCCCTTTTTCAATGGTAAGGTAGGTAGACAAATTCTTTGAAACAGTTGTTTGTCCGAAACAAATGGATGTGTGATACCAGCCCAAGATAAGACCACAACACTCGTATAGCAACTCAGAGATAAGTCATCTTTATGTTACTTATGTCACATTACTGTAGTGTGCCAAAATGTAAATTCAATACTGTTGGAACAAGGACAGTGGCGTAGCTAGAGAAGGAGCAATCCGTCCGAGACGGCAGATTTTTTTTTTTTTTTTTTCTGTGGGGGGGGGGCGGCGTTTTTTACATGGAACGTGGCTCTTGGAGGCAGGCGAAAAATAATGAGATTTTGAAGTATCATACGTAATTAAGCTGAGTAGAAAAATCATTTTTACTCTTGATAATGTATTCAAAGAAATCAGTCCGAGATTTCAACAGTTAACGTACTCTTGTACAACAGAAATATACTCTTTTTTTTTTATTCCTTCGAAACTTTTAAATGAAAATTACAAATATGAGCACGAATGAATTAAATTATGAGCACGATGACATTAATAAGAAAATCTTCGTTAAGAGAGAAGTATTTCAGAATTTTGTTACCGTTTTTGCTTGAGAAAACGAAACGGGGACGTTGAATTCTCGCAGTTTATTCTAAAATATTGTGCTCAGAACAAAGTTCCAGGTATTGTAATATTATTGCAAATATTCCTCAAAAATTCCTCTAAGTGTTGCTAAAATAGATATTACTTAAGAAATATTTAAGACCTACAAATCTTCATTTTGTATTTGGGGAATCTTTCTATACTGTTTGCATAACAGCAACAGGATCAATCAAGTAGACCTCTATAATGTCATCTACGGTTTTAATAAAAACACGCAAAATAATAATATAATTTTAAAATGTTGGAATTAAAAGTTTTTCTTCAAAAATAAACATGCAATTTTAATTAATTTCCCTATGTGTCATTTTGAAAATATTTTTAGTTATTAAGTTATATATCAAGGGGGAGGCTCAAATTAAGCTACAGCCCCAGGCCGCAAAGGTTCCAGCTACACCACTGAACGAAGATAATGTTAGTGTTTATCAGTTTCCAAAATATGGCTCAAAAATGCTATGCAGAAGTCAAGTAAAACTTCTTAGAGAGAGATTTTATTCCAAGTAAAAGAAGTGTTATTTGAGAAATGTGTTTTCTACGGATAAAGATCAAACATGGGGAAAATTGTAAGAGAGTGCAGAAAAGGATCGATGATGAAGGGTAATTGCTGCCCTTCATCATCGTTTTATAAAACTTTGATGAGTTGTTTATCATATTCTTACGAGTTTTGTGCATATATGAATAATTTTAGTGAAATTATACGTGAATTGTTTTATTTTTGTATAATGTAACATGAAAATGTAAAAAAGCAAAGCCTGCATGTAGAAAAAAAAAGATATACATTTATATGTATATTTACGACGTAATTAGGAAATATTTACATCTGATCGCATCAAAACCCATTGAACTTAATGGTAAATGACCCAATGTTTTGGTCATTACGTAGGGATCTTCAGTGCTTCAGAGCAGGGTACGCGAGAAACCTGTTTAGGGCCACTCCATCTTACTTCCTACCTCCATGTACTCTACACACGGAATGGCAACAGAGGATAAAATTTCTGCTTCGCGTAAAGAATAAATGTCCTCATACTTATGTGCAGGGATGGACGTTAAAAATGCGTAATGTAACATGACGTGATAGCATAATTAATGTAATAAATAAATGCCAACGTCAAAATATTTAGAAATTGTAGCGTAAAAATGAAAAAAAAAAAAAAAAAAAAAAAAAAAACCGTTTTCGTCCTGTTCGCTGTTTGTGAACATAAAATTAGGCGAAGCCAAAAATAGAGCTATGTCGCAATCGTGCTACAGCGTTCTTGAGCGCGCACAGTATCATTACTTAACTCACTTTCCACTTTTTCTCAACGTCGTTTGAGCGGGAGCTTGACGGGTACGAGATTGTGTTTATTGATCATTCGCCTACAGAAAGTGCGCTCTGGAGTCACGTGATCCCTTTCGTCTCCTAGGAAACCGTGACGTATCCTGATCTAGCTTCTCTTCCGCAAATCTACCACATTTCGTTTTATTCGCCCGGATTAGGAATACAAAATATAAGTTAACTGAGAATTTTATTAAAAAAAATTTTATATCATGTCTTACATTATTTTAAGCACATTGCCTTTTCTTAGAATACATAATTACCAGAATTCGTGATCCACCAGAATGCCTTTAGTTAACCAGAATACTTTTCTTCAATGGCGAAAACTTTGTTTACGTACAACAAACTCCCGATTAACTGGGGCATGTCTAGAAAAATTTGTTTGTTGCAGAACAACGGAAAAACCCATCAGCGTAAATCAACACTATGTACGGAAATAGATACAGAAGTAAAAGAGAAATATTTGTATGATTTCCGTAATTTTTAAAAATTTTCTATAGCGTTAAATTTTTGTAAAATTTTTTGACCGAAAACTTTTTTTTGAAATGCTAGATAGCAAAGCGCTCAGCTTATGTTTGAGGATACGAACAGAATGCTTTGTGATTTGGCGACTAGCAAACAGGCCGCCAAGTGGTCACTTTTTTGTGCAACCCTATCGGGATGGAGAGCATGTCGATCTGAGCTGAGCCAGTGCATCAACATTACAAACCATGCAATTCTTGGTGAAGTGCGACGGCGACAGCACGGGTTCCAACAGCGTGGTGCAATTGTTTGTTTTCGGATATCCGAATGGGGATACAAAGCGAATTTCTCGAGAAATGTGAAAATATATATTACCTGTGATAATACTGCTTATGGTGCTCGGATAAGATATGAACGTCTCAGGAACCGATGCAGATGAGGTAAGGAGTGATATTCTGTGTACTCTAGGTGGGGCGAATTCTAAAATTTCTCGATTCCTAATCTGAACTGGGAAAAAAAAAAAAAAAACCCGTTCTTTACGTAATAATAATAATAATGAGAAGAAAACTTTCAGTTAGTATTAAAAATGCTTTGTAAAACTTGAAATTCGCGTTTAGAAAAAAACACATTTAAGAATATAGTTTTCAAGAATACGTATATATTTATTAAGAAGATATAACTGAAATTTAGTAAATGGTATACGTAATTAACACTCTCGAATCTTAATGTTCATTTTCTTAACAGAATGTTAGAGGATGGGGGGAGGCAACTGAAATATAACAGTTCAAAGTTCAAGTTTTTAACATTTTCCCAGATTTTATTTTAGTCGAGGCAGTAATAGAAAGAGGCGACGATTATTTCAAGTGTTAACGCACATAAATACCAAGTATGGAATGCTAAGTTCTGTCCAGAAATTTAAGAAAAATTAAATTCTTGTTTATTTTTAATAATTCATAAAAGCAATGAGCACCGAATACTTTCAATATACAACCTCAAAACGCAGAAACTTTTAATGAAAATTTTTATTAAAAAAAACTTTATAAGTATTCGAACTCTCTGCTACTAATTTAAAACTTACTGATTTAAAAAAAAAGTTGTTAGCAATATGTTTGCTATGCGGAGTAGTATTTCTGAGATCATTGTTGATGGTAGAGATATTAAGGACCTTTTAAAGAATTTTTCCAAATTTTGATATGTTTAGTTGTTTCATTATTCTTCTGTTTTTGATGAACGCTTTTATTGAATGTCAAGGAACTAATCTTTTCTAAAGGTTAGGTTAAAACATTTAACTGTTTTCAAAGTTAGGATTTCGAAAATTTGATGACGAAAAAAGTGTGAAGCTCCGAGTTTTCGATCTCGAATCTTTCTCCAAGATTTGGCTGGACTCTAGAATTCGAATATTTTTCCACATGTGTATTTTCCATAGATAGGCAAATATTTTAAATAAGCCCTTCGGGGATAGCTTTATTTATTTTTTAAAAAAGGCTGCGATAAAAAGAATTTTTGTTTTAAGAAATAGACGAAATAAAGTTTTTAAATGATGTTTAATTTCTTTCTCTCTGTCTCTCTTTTTTTTTTTTTTTTTTTCCTTTGTAAAAAAAATTCGTTTATTGCAGAGTTAGTGTTCAACAGAAGTATTATAATTAATAATTGAAAAGAACCAAAGTAAACGGCAAACTCTTGCTATAAATCAAAATCAGGTTAATTCCTCCAAAACTTTGATATAACAAGCCATATCAAAATTAGTGTCACGTTCAGATTTTGCAACAAGGTTTCAGTTATCAGGATTTTCAGTGCTCATAATGTGTGCAATACTTAATAAGAAAAATAATCTGACACTTCTGGGTTCTATGACCAAATTTTTAACCCATTGATCTGAAAGTACAAAAATATTTTATTTTTTATAACGAGTATTTTTCAAAAAATAAAATATTGTTGCGTGCGTACGGGTTCGTTATGAAATGAATGCACAAGTCCGATGAAAAATGAACAAAAATTTATTATTATCACAACAAAAATGCTTAAATTTTCTCAAATTATCATGCAGTATTACAATATCTCACAGTAGTTATCTTTTAACTACTCAAATATCCAATAGAACGTAATTCAAAACAGCTAAAGAACGCTAATCCGCGAATTCGCTACAATCAACAACACAGTAGTTTTCTAAAACAACAACAAACTAAGCAACTACTACAAACTGAGATGTTTTCCTCCTTTTATAAGATTTTAAAATCACGCGCTAGAATTTTCCAGTACTTTCTCGAAATCAAAAAGAAGATATTATTTATTTAATGCACGCGCTCTTGTATTTTCAATTTTCCGGCTTAGCTTTCTTTAATATTCGTCACGCGCTGCACTGCGCGAGAAATAAAAACCATTTAATTTCTAATTGAACTAACATTAGCTTTTTAAATACCAAATTCGTAACACTGCCCCCTTCCCAAGGACTGCACGTCCCGGGCAGTACAATCCCTGGACAGGAAGCAAAACTTACAACTGTGGCATAAATGCATTAATAAGCATTACATTACAATAATAAACAACATGAACAATAAATGCAATACATAAAAAACAAATCAAATGCTATCAAAAAATCAAATACACATTTAAAAACAAAAAATGGACCATGGTCTTATACTATTTACAATTATTTACATTACGTACTATGGCCATAGTAATGAGCTAACCTGTCGTAATGAACGACTTTAGGTTTAGAGTTCGAAGACTTACGAATCCGAACCATGACGTCATTTAGCCTGTTTAGGATTGTGTGCGAACCATCCCAAGGTGACTGTAAATCAGGCCTGACTCCTTTTCGTCGAATCGGGTTCCACAACCACACCTTGTCTCCTTCGTTGGATCTATGTCCAGCAGCTCTCGTGTTGTATCTGGTCTTCACTTTCTCCGTCGCCAAGTTCACTCGCTTTCGTGCGGAACGGTGCATCACTTCAAAAACGGGCCTTGGACATCTTGGATGTGTTCCTCAGGCGATGAAGGGCGCATCCGTACGGCGATGATGCGATGAAACAGGCGGTCACAAGGCAGACGAAGGTCTCGACCGAAGAGCATCTGAGATGGAGAATAGCTGGTAGTCTGGTGTTTCTTTTCGACCCTAGCATGATTTCGGCTGTTTCTCGAGCTGGTTCTTTCGGACAAAGCGTCGGCATTTCCAGGTGAGGATCCCTTCTTAGGATGGATAGTCATGTCTTCAGATCCTGAAAGCAGTTTTGTTTTTTCAAGTCTAAGGAAAAATTGTATTTCCTTAAAAAAGTCCAATCCGAGTATGCATGGATCTGTAATATCCGCCACATATGCCGTGTGATGGTAGGCGGCACTTCCAAACGTGATGTTTACGTTTAACTTCCCAGTTATGTCGATCTTGTCACCAGACGCAGTCTGAAGGGTAACACAGGATGGCGTCCAAATGAGTTTATCTTTAAAACTGTTCAGCTAAATCTTTCCTAATGATGGTAACATTAGCTCCTGTGTCAATGATCATTCTGCAAGGAACTCTATCGATATTCCCATTGATGGACAGTCCGTTATTGTTGCCACTCACTGTATAAATTTTAAGAGCTTTAAAACAAGGTTTTCACTATCTGGCAACCTCCGTTCCTCGATATGGTCACTAATTTGTTTACTGCGTTGTTGCTGGGAAATGGTCTTATTTTCCGTACCTCGCGGTGTTCTGCAGTTTCTTCGTATGTGGCCTTCAACTCCGCAGTTCCAGCACTTTTAGAATTAGTTTCTTTTCACTTCTGTTCCGTCTCAAGCCACTGACTTGTCTGGTAAAATCATCTGTTTTATTTTCTGTTTCAGTTTTATTTTATTTTCTGCATTCTGTTTTATTATTATTCCTGGGGAGTTCTGCAATTCCGTCTTAGGTGACCTTCACTACCACATCTCCAACACCTTAGAGCCACTTTCTTCTCGCTCCTACTCCATATCAAATCTGTCGACTTGTCTGGCTAAATCATCTAAACGAAGCCATCAAGTTGATCCACTGGCTCATGGACTCTCACAGCTCTGACTGGGTAGCGATCTCTACAAGTTGCTTGCTGACGGCTGCCTCGAACTTCATGGCATACAACAGAGCGCCTTTTTAAATCCTTTTACATCCGCCATTCGTAAAGCTTTCAGGTATTTCAGTATCTCGGATGCCGTCGATAAAGTATTGCAAGCGACCAGGATTTCCCTTGTTTCTGTCAGGCACTCCGAAAAGGCGAGATGGGACAGCCTTTCAACATCCGCGGCGAGCTCCTGAAGTGTTTCGGTAGGCTTCTGTTGACGAGATTTTAATTGGAGCCTGCTGTAGTCTTTTAAACACTTCTCCCCAAGCGCAACTCCAAGGCGCCGGACAGAGCTTCGAAATCTAACCTTTTGTTTCGGGAAGAGTCTGAAGGATATCCGCTGCGTCGGCTCTTAGAGAAGCGGCGAGATGACAGGCCTTAGCTGGGAATCCCATCCATTCGCATCCGCCACGATAGAAAATTGTGTCTTATACACCTGCCAGGAGGTCTTCCCATCATATGTGGATAGCTTCAGAGGTGGACGAGCAGGCATTGGTAAGAATTTAAAATCATCACAATTGTTTCCTACCGTCGCTATGCACTTCTTTAGGCTGTCAACTTCTTTGGCGACGGCAGCAGAAACCCTATCATCAATTTGTTGTTCGACGGCAGAAACTCTTTCTTCAATTTGTTGTTGGAAGGCCGAAACTCTTCCTTCGACTCGTTGCTCCACAGCCGACACTCTATCTTCTATTTCATCTTTGACAGAAGAAACCTTTTCTTCAATTTGCCCGACTTTATTTTCGGACAGCTCCTATTCTGTCTTCCATAGCCTCAAATTTACTTTCTATTACGCAGGTTATTTCTCTTTTTCATTTCGTCTTGACCTGCTTCAATCTTTTCTTGTACAGCTTTTAATTGTCCAAGTGATGGTAATTAAAAGTTACTTGACCTAGCTTCCAACTTTTCGTGAACGGCTTCCATTTTCCTTTTTAACGGATTCTTCCATCTTCCTTTCTGAGCGGCTTCCATCTTGGCTGACCAATTCATTCATCTTTCATTTCCTTAACGGATTCTTCTGGTCCCGCTTTCATTTCCTTCCTTAACGGAGTTGACGGCCCCTTCCATCATTTCTTCGGAAAGCAGCAATTTGCAGTTATTCAATTGCCTCAAATTGTTCTTCCATCGCTCATGTATTGGCATTCAAACCCCACTCCTGACACCAAAAAGTTGTTGCGTGCGTACGGGTTCGTTAGGAAAATGAATGCACAAAGTCCGATGAAAAAATGAACAAAAAATTATTATTATCACAACAAAAATGCTTAAATTTTCTCAAACTTATCATGCAGTATTACAATATCTCACAGTAGTTATCTTTAACTACTCAAATATCCAATAGAACGTAATTCAAAACAGCTAAAGAACGC